CACCGAGAGACGAGCAGCCAGGGCCGCCATTGAGCCACAGCACTAGCGGGTCCGTGGATGGATTGGACTCGGACTCCACGAGCCAGTAAAACATCTTTTGGCCGTTGCTGGGCAGCGGAATGTGGCCGGCATACTGGTCAAAGTTGATGGGCTTGGCGTCGTTGTAGTTGGGAAGAGACGTGATCTGGTGGGAGCTGGCAGTGGTGGCAGCTACGGCGGACACTACGAACGCGGCGGCGACAGCCAACGCTTGGACCAACATCTTGCTGCTCTCTATCACACTGTAGGAAAGTTCAGGAATGGTCATTGGTCAAAACATGTGGTGGACAATCAATACAAGAACACTTGGAACTACCAGTACCGGTACCTATACTGTATACAGTATATGAGTACTACTCATAATCAAATAGGGCTACTAGTAGTATGTCACTAATTTGGCAATTCAATTTTCCACGATCATGTTGATTTGTACTGGTACTACAGTAGCTACTAGTACTTCGAAGTACATTCGAAGTATTAATGCTATTTTAATAGAATTACTACGTACTGTAGTAATACCTACGAAATATACCGGACATTAGTCAAAATATAATGCAACGAAGTGAGGTCTGGACGAAATGTATTGAATGCTTGGCGATATAACGCACATCGTGACATGGTGTGAATCCGTTGTGCGTCGGACGAAATACACTAGAAATAACCTGAACTTAAACGAAAAATGGTGCAGTAGTTATTCCGAGCTTAGCCTCAAGGCCTTCAACTCTGTATCAATAATTCCTTTGGAGTACATACTCAGCCAGCTTGATGAGAGTAAGCCTCATTCCGAGCTTGATAGAGTATTTCCGAGCTCATCAGCCTATGATTTCCCAACTCCCACCGACCTCAAAACCAACCTACTATTAACATCGTTAGTAGGAACTCCTATCGAGAGAGGTTTTGCAAGTGTCCGTTCGCGGTCGCGTTCTGCTCCGAACCATGTTTTCTTATGTCAAAGGCAGTAGTAGTTCGAACGGAATATCAAACATAACGTCACGTAGTTGTCTTGTTGGCGTTCTGTTCACAAATATCCGTATAAGTATATATTATTCGGATATTCATCCAAAATCACTTAGCGATGGTGCTCACGCAGTGGGAGTTGTCCTTGCTTGCCCCCTTCGTGAAAACAATGACAAAGCGACGTCGTTACTTAGTGCTGTGTGCGTTAAGCTACGTTGAGCGCCTAATTATCCCACACATCCAGTCCAACCTCGATGCTGTGTCCGACACCAACGCACTGCTGGTCTTTCGACGTCCCAAAGCAGTTGAGTACCTTTTTGGCGTCAATGGACGGTTTTGGCAGGTAAGTGGAACGCGAACACTTGCAAAACCTCTCTGGCCAGTTTATGGTGCACGGGACAGTCAAATTGGTCAATGAATTGCTAGATTTTCGGAATAGCCAATCGAATCACTAGAAAAATGCCAAAAATAAGCAAAATCACCATACATATTTTAAGCTTTAACCGTGCACCACAAACCGTCCGACTTGCGTTGACTTGAGTGGAAATTGAGTAAAAGGACGCTAAGCTGAAGTGTACAGTTTCAAGATTCCGGTCTGGAAAGACGAATAATTCGCATTCTACTCGTTCAAGTGCACCATAAATTGGCCATCTACGTTACTACCGTATACCCCCTGCTTCAGTACCTATGATTTCTCCGGTTGGACATGTACCGGTTTGGAACATATCGGCCAATGACGAACATTTTCATGGTTCTGGTTGGGCGTGTACCTAGTTTTCTCTCATTGGACAGAAATATCCAATCACTATGCGTTAGTTATTTTCATCCAATGAAAAATAAGTCCTGAGGTGGATTGAGACCAATGCGCATGCCCGAAGAGTTTTCAAGGTACCGCTTGGAGCTGTACCGGTTGTGATCAGATTTCACTGAGATTTTTTCATAGGTACTGAAGCGGGGGGTATATGGTAGAGAAGTTTTGCAAGTATGTAGTATAAGGTAACGCATCGAAATCCCCAACAGCATCGAAATCGCGAACAGTTTCAATTTTGACCAATGAATAACTTCCCTTGGTGGCCGATGAAAATCTATTGGCTATGATTAGGGGCTGGTCTGTGAAAAACCATCCACGCTTTAAGGCAGGGATGTTATCCGAACTATTTTCGAGGATTCTGAAAATATATCAAAAATATTTCTTAATTTCTATCGAAAACGTGCAAAAGCAGGAACGGACACTCAAAAGCAGGGATGAATCATCCCTGCTTCAACTCAGGCGTCCCTGCTTTTGACGTTGTGTTATCCGGAAAAATTCACGTTTTAGCCAATCAGGAGTCGTATTTGCGTGGATACTTCAAAAAGCGTGGACGGGAATGTTCGCAGACCAGCCCCTTATATTCACCACTCCATGTTGACGGAAGCAAATTCAATGTAATTTAATTCCAAACAATAATATATTATCCTGCATCCACTATGATGTTGTTGAGTTCTGTCATTAAAATTGTGTTGAATATAATGTTTTTCGTTGACATTTTGAATTAAACCATCCAGATTAAAATTGGTGATGTTATTTTGCAAATTTTTATAGCATCATACTCAAGACAAGACATTTGAGTGTTCGCGATTTCGGAATTCTTGAAGTTCCCAACTCGGCTCGAAAGTGGTGATAATAATTTTCGTCCAAATCGCAAAACTCGTTCAATTGTGTTTGAAATGGCACATAAAATGGAGCTTGAATTATATTTTCATTGGGTCCCTCAGATTTTCTCAGAGTAGTCTGGTTTCTCCAGGACATCAACTTGAATGGACAGATCAAATTTGCGGCAAAAAGTGTTCGGGATTTCGATGCGTTACCTTAACTGAAAGTCCCGACTGATCAACCTAATTCTAATCACATATGTACACATTCCGATTTCTCCACCGTGAAATCGCAACGCATAACTTGTTCCAATCAAATACCATTGGTAGTTACTCTGGAGGATGAGCACTACGAGTATTAATATTACTAACGTTATACGTATAACGTTATATACCAACCTGCTCAAAACTTCTGGTCTTACTGTTAGCACACATTCTCCTAGTGCATATAGGTCGAGTACACGGGCTTGACTTCAGACGTCAATTCAGTATACTTGACGGTTTCCTTTTGGGTTTTCTGGGTGGGCGACATATCGCCAGCCAAGCAAACCCACGACCACCACCGCCACCCCACCCAGGGCCCACCACAAGTACACCAAATTCGCCTGGCTAGTACTACTAGTCACCGGCGCCGTCAAGTCGGCGCCACTCAAATACTCGAGGGCGTCCTTGGGGTACGCAAACGAGTCGCACGCCACTTGACCGTACACAAAACACTCAAACAAGTACAATGCATGCAGCGGTCTTGTGGCTGGCACCATGTGGCCGGCGCCCTTGATGGTCGTAAACGTCAAGTTAGTGTACCGTTCAGTGTACCCCGCCAGTTGTTTGTCCGGGCCAAACCAGGCTTTCCACTTATCTTGCACTGGAAGCTTCAGACCCTCCGACGTAATCCACCGCTGGGTGCCGATAAAGTTGACCACCGAGTCAGCGTCCCCGCTGTAAATGAGCCCTTTCAAGCCGGCGTTGAGGATAACGGGGTACTTCTGGAGCGAAGATGGGGAGCTGATGTACGGAATGTCGGCGCAGTCGGTCCAGGCAATCGCCCCGCCATTCTCGACGTGGATGGCGGTTTGCACAGCTTCAAGGCGAAGATATGACTCGGTAAACTGATCTTGGCACGGACCAATCTAGTCTCAGGTGTCAAGAGAAAATGTACAGGGATTAGCAGCAGCAAGGCGCAAACTTATACTATTAACGCTACTCGAAGTATTATTTAAGGGGAGGTGAAATTTCAACACAATGATACAATTGGGTTGGACCGCCCATGAACGAGAAATAAACGTGGCCACTAATATTGCCATGTGTGGCTAAATATTGTAATATATGGCCTTATCGTAGTAGTACGTTAAAGGATCCATCAAAATAGGGAACAAAAACCCAATCAATTGAGCTATGCACCAACATTGTATGAGCAATACATTGCAATATATATATGTATATATAAATATATATGATTCAATATCGTACGTCAAATATACGCTCACATATATATAGTACTAACGTTATGGTATCATTTTCAAAGAGAAAAATATATCTTGTTGGATCGTTGGGCCGAACGGACACTGAAATTTTACCCCAAAACAAATACAACCGAAACAATCAAAATAGCTCAATATACAACGAAACCTTGCTCCAAACGAATTAAACGAAAAGTCAATGGTACTCAACCACTATATATATATATATATATATATATCCACGTATATATATCCATGTGTATAATATATATATGTATGTATACATACCACGCCACGATGGGTGTTGGGCCGGATGTTGTAATTAGGCAATGCCTTCGCCTGGCCATTCTGCAGCAAGCAAATGTCGCCGTAGAGGTAATATGGGTTCAAAGCGTCCGTATGGGCACTCAATTTGGCGTCTTCCAGTGCCGTTTGGCACGCTGTCGAAAGGTTGCGAGAAAAGTCAGGTGATGCGCAGTTGGCCTTAATAGCGTTGTGGCTTTCAATGGAAATCAACCCGTGCGAGTAGTAGTAGTCCATGTTGGAATTGCCTACATTCACAATAGCATTACAACTATACTAGGACTAATGTAGTAGTACTAGTATGCCACTCAAGTAAATATCCACCAAAACAATGGTATCGGTATCCCCAAAGGCAGCAAACGTTGATGTGATTGGTCAATCAATCGACAGGTACTACTATATGATTGGTCAAGAATTCAAAAGGTAATAAATGTGTATATACTAGATTGTAAATCGTACCGTCAGCCACTTGGTCGGTGAACGGGTTGCCGATGGCAAACCCGGTAAAGTTCACCTCCGCAATCGGGGTTTGCACAAGTTTGGAGGCTAAATACGGAATGTAAATCCCAGCGTAGCTCTCGCCCGTGATGTAAAACTCGCGGTTCTTGTATCGAGGGTACTTTGCGTAGAACTCGACCAAGAACTCGTACGCTCGGTCGGTGGTAAAGTTGTCGTTGTAGTCAGTGTCATTTAGGACAGGTTGGCTGAAGCCGACACCGGCTGGAGACTCCAAGAACACCATGTTGGCCTTGCGGTTCCACGCGTACGGATTGCGCTTGACGCTCAAGTCACTCTGGACGACAAATGGACCCAACTCGGTGAAGAAGCCACCGAGAGACGAGCAGCCAGGGCCGCCATTGAGCCACAGCACTAGCGGGTCCGTGGATGGATTGGACTCGGACTCCACGAGCCAGTAAAACATCTTTTGGCTGTTGCTGGGCAGCGGAATGTGGCCGGCATACTGGTCAAAGTTGATGGGCTTGGCGTCGTTGTAGTTGGGAAGAGACGTGATCTGGTGGGGGTTGTTGTTCACATCATTCGAAGAAGTAGTGGCACCAGCCAAGGCGGCAGCAAACGCCATCAGGTTTCGGAAGAGCACCATGATGTCGTCGTCCACAGGGCGAATTCAAAAGTGAAAGGCAATTGAGGAAACGTCGTCAATCGAAGGTTCGTGTTGGGCTACTAACTTGCACAGCTAGGCTAGCTAGTACTCTCGGGTGGGGCTTACTATGAATAGTTGTACTACTTTATGCAATTAATTGTACTAGTACTACAGTACTGTGAGTATAGTACAGTTAATCTGAGCCATGACGCGAAACAAGTCTGTTCGTTTTGGGAAATAGTACTCTTTCCGAGATGATGTCACTGTTGATGAATGGACGCATCTAGTACTACTACTAACATTATTAAAAGAGGAAGCCATACCCTTTCGCCTCCGCAACGCGAGATCTTTCACTTCGTCGTACAGTAGTAGCCTTAGGGCGCCTTTCTAGTGACTTCAACAATATGAACCAATCACATCTCCGCATCAGGGGGGTACAGTCGTAAGGAATCCAGAATGTGTATTTCCATTGCCCCTTCCGCTGAAATGTTAGTGTTTTGCAAGTCCGGGGAAGTGACCAAAAGCAGCGATCCTTGGCCCCACAAGGGAGATCGAATGTGTGTGTAGAATGAGAATACCAGTACTACAGAAAACGACGGAAATAATTGCCAAGTGGTAACTTCAAATATATAGAAATTTCTATGGCCAATATTATTGTTACGAACAAGTCATATTAATAGCACTACTGTTTACTACGTAGTATTGATTATAACCAATCGTAGGACAGATGTCTGATTGGCCAATTTTCAACCAATAGCAAGATATCAAGACGCCACAACAAAGGCAACGTCAACGAGTCAAAATTTCAAATGAACTGACACTGTGAGTAAAAAAAATCACAGGCCATTGTGAATTGTTTCCGTCGTACTAATCTACCAGTAATTCTGAAAGTCATCTCATCACATCGGACTACTTTTATACTAGTACTGCGTAGTACTGTAGTATATTGCATCAGCTCAATATTGATTCAATTATCAATGTCAGAATACTATTATCTAAGGGCCACTCTGGCCGCCACAAAACATGTCAGAAAACACCTCTTTTTGCAATTTTTTTTCAGAAATATTATGATATGACAATTTCTCAAACGACAGGTTTTGTGTGTTTGGCTACCAAATCTAACGTGTTCAAAGTGACATAATACGTCGAATTTTTACTGCTTTCTGACAGAATATTTTTTGAGCTGCAACAGTCCTTTTCTTACAAACATGATATTCTATCGATAGTTTTCATTCCATCATGGCATCCAGAGGTTACATCAAAACAATTTGAAAATATTTTCTCGCCTCCCATTTAAAAAGGGAATTCTCTGCCAGAATATTATTTGACATAAATGGCATCCAGACTCGGCCCTAACAATGTAAAGTCAGTAACTGTAAGCTATGAAAAGAAATATAACGAAGAGTTCACCAATAGTGCTTGCGCTGAAATGCGACATTTAGCGCATTACACGGTCGCTCTTGGGCCCCCGATGATCGTGAGATAGAGTAACTAACGTTAAACATATTCATTACTAGTATTGTGGATTCGGTACAGATTTCCAGACACCGTCAAATCGAATCTCGCCGGCGAATCGAATCACGAATCGACGCTATTGGCTAATCCAATTTTGAGTGGATTTGCTCTTACAGGTCAAGTATATTCAACCAATCAGAACTTCAGCGTGATTCAATCAATATTGGTTAGACAAACCATGTGAATTTTGGAAGTTTGTAGCAAATTCACAATATGATACTATTACTTCGAAGTAATTACTACTGGTACATACAGTTCAATGAAGTTATAAACACAGTATTTGAAGGTATATTGTGCATTCGCTATAAACTCCCAAAATACGCGTGGTTTGACTATCCAAAATTGAATCACGCTGGAGTTCTGATTGGTTAAATATACTTGTCCTTTCTGTAAAAGCCAATTAAATCCACTCAAAATTGGATTAGCGAATAGTGTCGATTCGTGATTCGATTCGGCGGCGAGATTTGATTCGACGGGGTCTGGAAATATGTACCAAATCTATAGTACTGTGAGTGCGCTATTTACTCGTGAAATATACAAGAGTGCCATCATCATGCATTACTATTGTCCTTTCAGCCATAATATGGAATTTTGGACTGATTTGCCAAATCCATCTAATGTTTTCGATTTTTGGTACTGAAATTTGTTTGTAAAAAAGGCCAGAGGAAATGACCAACACACACACTAAATATCTGTTGATTGGTTGACCTGATGATTTCCTGCAAACTGATTGGCAAAATTCTTTTTGCCGGTTCTTTTGTAACGTTCGTTACATTTGGTTGCATCGATGCATTCATGAATAAACACAACAATACTTGCATTCGTTCGCTCCTTGGTGTCGAGAACCTACTACGTAGTATTAATACTTACTACATGTAGTATATGTATGGGCATGGTTCCGTAACACTTTTCGGGACTCGTCGATGGAGGTGTTCCTTTACTCCAAATTGCTATTATAATAGTGTTTCTTAAAGAGGAGAATTAATGCAGTTCGTAGAACTTCGAATCATGTCGAAATTCGTATTAGTGTTGATGGAAAATGAATTAAAAGAGTGGAAATATCGATAGGCTGAAAACAGTTCCGAGCCACTGATTTATCCAGTTATCTGTCAAAAATTGCATCTGATTGGCTGAAAATTTTAGAGTGATTTTTTTCTACCAATCATGCATCGTGGCACGGAACCAAGTTGGCACGGAACTGCGCCCATATGTATAGTTACGGTCTTAAGTTATTTGTTGTGTACGACTTCTAGGTACTAACTATCGCCATTTTCTTCGATCGAAACCAACGCGCATGCCCTAGTAGTACTAGTAGTACATAGTACACCATACATACCCATCAACTACTCGTCGTCGTCGTCGTCCACATCAAAGCCATACGCAGCGGCAATCTCTGCAGCATTCGTAGGGGTATTGTCCACCAACCCCTTGAACATGACAGAGGTCTTGCTCTCAGGTCCAAACACATTGATGCATGTCTGGTATGCCAGGGCGTACGCTTCGGTAGCTTTGGCGATATCTCCTGCTTCAACGTGGGCCTGGGCGATCGAGTCATAGACAGACACCTTTTCCGAATGCGGAAAAGGCACGACGTAGTTGAGCGCGTCGGCTTGGATGGTCATGAGCGCTAAAGCTTGGGGCTCGGTCATGTTTTGCTCTGCGACAGAGTCTTCCAACAACACAGCCAGCGCCGAGTAAAAGATATGGTGGAACGGATGCAGGGGCGAGTTTTGGACCAGCTCGAGCATCTGTTCGACGCTGTCCACTTCGAGCTCGGTCAGTAGGGTGTCTTCAGCCTTGACGGCGGCAGCGACCGTCGCGGCATCCCACACAGTGTCGCAGGTCGTGCACGCAAATACATCGCTGTTTGTCGGGTGGACAATTCCGGTTGGGCAAGTTGGCACTTGGCACTTGAACCCGCGCGTGAGATCCGGCGCGGTGCCCGAGCACACCCCGCATGCACACGCGTGGCCTTCTTCGGTCAGCACTTGCTTGCGCTCGGCGGCGCACATGTAGTGCGTATCGAAGAAGTCGACGGTGATTTGTTCGCCGACGGCAATGGGCTGGATGGCAGTGACCCAGATGGCATCGCCGGCGTCCGTGTACGAAGCGTTGGGGGTGCAGCTGTGCTTGAGCTTGGACACGAAGAAGAACAGCCCGGACCCGCCAATGTCTTCGAGGGGAATGCTATGCTTATGGAGGACTCCAATGAGGTGCGCGACTTGGTCTGTGGTGAGGCTGGTGGGAATAGCGGACGGGTGTGCGTCGCGGAGGCCCGTCGCGGCGTCCAGCGTCGCGGCCACATCGTCGGCGACTACGTCGAGGGATAGGAAGCTGTCGATGGCTTTCGCATCCACTTCGATCAAGTGGAAGACCTTGAACAGGTTCTTGCGGACTTCGGAGGCGCCCAGCGCCTCGAACGACTCGCATGCTGCCGTGAGCTCGGAGAAATGCGCCACCACATAAGCGCTCACTTCGTCGTGCTCGGATTCGTCAAGCACGTCCTCAAGCGCGTCGTCGGACTCATCGATGGCGGCACAGCCGTCGCATTCTTCATCTTCGCAGTCCTCTTCGTGGAACCCTTGCTCGGGCTCCATGCCGCCGGCGGATGCGACCGTCGCCGCTTCGGCAAAGATCACTTGGCCAGCCGTCAACGCCGACGTGGCGACGATCGGCTTGGACATGTCTTGGGACACCGGGGCTTCCAAAAACGTAGGCGCGTCGAATTCCATGTGAACAAGATGAAAGATAAATCAAAATGACATGATGTCGAGAGGTGTATAGGTCGATTCCGCAGCCAATCGATTCGGTTCAACATTATTGTGGTGGAGTTGGGTACATGGGCGGGTAAAGGCAGTCGAAATAGTCCATTGGGATAGTGTGACCATATGTATATTTGGACCAAAATTCAGAGAGGCTTATAGCACACGTAAAATTTAGTATTAAATACAGGTAGTACTACTAGTACTTAGTAGTCATGTTCGTGTTCATCCTGGTTAGTATCGAAAGGCTCAAACGACGAACGCTACAAGAAGATTGGACTACCTGAGTACTACCGGTATTAATAGGAGTACTGCATACTGTACTATTAATAATACTACGTAGTATTTGGAAGTGGTTAAAGTGGTACTATTAATAGTAGTACTCTTATAGTACAAGTATAACCGATGGTCAAGATAAATCATCTGCCGCTGCATATATTTCTTGTCAATGGTTTATACAGTTGAATTTTGGGGTGATGGTGTCACTAGTCACCCGCCCAGGGAAGTTTATTTCCCCCTTCAACAACTTTGGACTGGTTGACTGGACTGGGGAGATTCCTGGACCATTGATCGCCAATGCCGTATACTAAACACATGCACATATAAGAGATAGACTAACTTCTCCACACGTTTTCAATACCTTTCGCAATCGTTCGAACGAAAGGTTTGGGGTTACTATAGGGACTAACGTGCTCTGTATGCCGAACGGTACTGTATTACACAACTTTGAAATGTCCATCTCTGCGACATCTATTCATTGATGTCGTCGACGTACAGTAAGTACAGTACTACAGTATACTGTATGGCAGTGAGTACTGTAGCTCACTACTAGTAGTACTACAGTAGCACTACAGTACTAGTACACAGTACTGTACAGTACTACAGAGTAGTATCTAACCTGCGCTTCGCACTACTGTACGTACTGTACTGTTGGTACTACCGTATCTGGCTGGCTCCGTAGCAAACAGTCGAGAGTACACATTCTCGTAGTACAATCTCATGTCCAAATTGACCAGTTCTTTTGGCTCAGTTGGGAGCGCGTCTACTTACAGAGAACCGAGTAGGAACTCGCGCACAGTGGTATTTTGAAATATATGGGGAATTGTATGCGAATGCGCAAGTTGTGATTCCGAGTACGAATTATAATTTTGCAATCAGATCAATCGGATTAATTTATTATATCCAATCATACAATTTACAAACTTTTTATGAGCATACTATTGGTTAAAATATAAAATATGAAAAAATACTATTGGTTGACGTCGGAATTTATGAATGAATGCTCCATGGGAAAAAAGTAGTGTCGATACCACTGTGCGCGAGTTCCTACTCGGTTCTCTGTATAGATCACTTTACACCTGATCTAAGTATGATAAGAACACACCGATGGTCGCTGGTTCAGTCCCAGGTTTCCTCAGGTCCTTGGCATCGACACCAGGAAGCCTAGTTAGGGTCGAGTCAGAACCCTCCCCTTTCAACTCAAACCAAGCAATCGCTTGAGAAGTTGCGGCGATATGTCAACACGAGCCAAGGCTGCGTTGTCCTAGTACAGGGCAACGTACTACCGGCTATATATATATACTCCGGAGTATTCTACTTCTTCTACTCCTACTAGTACTTACTACTACTACGTAGAAGTACAGTACGGTAGTAGGTTTGATCGTCTTTGTTGGATCATTCCAAGCCATACGCGGCCGCAATCTAGTGTGTATTCTGGGGAGTGTTGGTCATCAGGGTACTGTACTGGATAACAGTGACGATACTACAGTACTTACTGTGCTGGAGGGCTTCAACGTGTTCAAGGCCTGGTTACACTGTATACTCCAGTATCGCGTAAGTAAACAAATATAAAATCTTTTGATTTTATAATTGCTCAACGACTCTTGTATTCCTCCGAGTGGTAGCTTGGTAGATGCGTTATGCAACTGTAATTGGAAACCATACAGTAGCAAGGACGATGCTTATTCGAGACACTACCGGTACGTACTCTAGTAAGTTACTACTAATGTTAGTAGTCACGGAATGGCGCCTGTTGCCTGACATATAGTTAAGATAGTATATAATATATATACATAGTACCCTGATGTATACCGTATTTGTCGTAGTTAAGTTTGCACCTTGGAATTAAATTTGACGAATTTATTTAAATATTCGAATTGTATAATTGATTTGAGATTGTATTGAATTATAGAACGATATTCGCGTTTTGTATTTCATCGTGCAGATCAACGACACATACGGTAGTTAAGATATGTATCGTTCATTCCCTTGTACTAACTACAGTAACTTGGGACGACTTCGCTTTTGTCCAATTTGCTCTGGTTATGAAGTCCACGTTTGCAATTCGTGGCTCGAGAACAGCGTACAGTTGAGGCGTTGGTGCACAATTTCCACAAACATGCGCACGGCCACGGGCAAAATGTCGTCATTAAAGTCATACTAGTTAACCAAATTAGCACATATTTACAGTTAATACATAAAACAGTGAAATTATAACCATGAAAATAATAATACAAAAGCATACCGTGTCGCTGTGCACGAGTCGATTTTGGGTTTGCGTCTACAATCGAACGATATTCCCCTTTTATGAGTCATAGCCCCATTGGTGCTTTGGTCCTTGAAAGGTTATATATATATATATATATTTATTTAGAACGGCATAAAACGTCGACTTATTACCTTGTCCACGGTCCCCACAAAGTAAAAACAGCCGGGAATTCGCTGCAAATAGTATGAAAAGTCCTCCGATGCGCAGTTTGGAAGGCCCTCGGCAGTTACTTTGGATGGCCCCACCACCTTCTGAGCCACTTCTGTGACAACGTTCGTCTGCGCCAAAGCATTCAGAACCACCGGATACCCATCCGTAAACGAGATGCTGCCCTCGACGCCGTATGCTTTGGCAGTATATTGGACAATCTCGGTCATGCCTACAAATGTGTATTGATAAATATATAGACGAGCTAGTAGTACTACGATAAGAAGTGGAAAAACCTGTAGTAGTACTAAGTGCACACAAAACTACTAAACACTGCGAGACGGATGCAAGAAGTAGCGATTCCAAAGCAATAATATAAAACGAATTAGAAACAACGAGATTTCAATGGCCAGTTTACATAAATACATACAAGGGTCACTGTAACACCTCACTAGTATTCAGGAATCCCACATACTAGTATAGATTATATATATATATTGTGCTTTCGAGTGAAATTTCGTGTTGTGGCGTGGATTCTCGTTGAAATTTAAATCGATTTGATTGGCTACCTCAGATGAGCTCAAAATTATTAGCCAATCAAAACCTTCTCAATGAAATTTAACCAATCAGATCGATTGTGGATCGGTTTGGTCGGCGCGATTCGATTGCACCCCCTCCCCAAATTTGTATCAAATCGACAATATATCGACTCAAACAAATGTATCCACCAGCATGACAGTCCATGAAACGAAAACAGATACCAAAAGTGATACGAAAATTATCTAAAAAAGTACTATAAATATAAAAAATATTATAAATATAAAAATTTAATTATATTATAACATGAATTTATATTTACAAATATCATCCAAACTCCATATATATCTCCAATCGTACGGGTTTGCATGAGGGTGGACACATGAGGTGAAAAGTCGCGCATTGTGCCTGATAACGTCACGAGAGATGGGATGACGTTATCGGCTTCCCCGCCGTGGACTTGAGTAATCGACAGCACGCCGCTGTCATGGGCAGAGACATTCCGACTTAGAATCGACTGCATCCCCACAATGATATGCCCCGCCGCAACAATCGGGTCCTACTCATCAGACACGAAAGTATATAGTACTATTCAAAATATACAAGAATAACAATAATATATATATATACCTGGGTTTGGTGTGGGGCCGAGCCATGCCCCCCCGGGCCTCGGATTTGAATGGAAAATCGCGCCGAATGTGACATCATGGGCCCTGCTTTGACTTGGATTTGCCCCACAGCATGCGGAATGTTGTGGTATCTACTCGACAAAAATTGGAAAATGGGGTCCAAAGTGATACAAAAAATGTCATTTGATACTCTGAAGCGCCAAAAGTGATACAAACTATGTCATTTGAGACTCGGGAGGGCAAACGTGATACAAAAAATGTCATTTGAGACTCGGGAGGGCCAAAAGTGATATAAAAAGGGTGGGAAATGAGACTCTCGAGGGTCCAAAGTGACACAAAATAGGGTCCAGGAATATAAAAAGTGAGCAAATGATACTTTAGTAAGGTTAAGTCCAAAGTGATATAAACATTGATATTCCAATATACGACCAATAGATTCAAAACCACCATGTGTGGATGACTTTGTTGACCATAAGACTGAACCATAAGACTGAACAGCTGTGCAAATGCCAATATGCAATCGCTTGAGCGATATGTAGGTGTTACCCATAGATTTCGTCGACTCCGTCCAAGCAGCCGTCCTTGATCATAGCCACGGCACCAAAATGGCCTTCCTCCGCCGGTTGGAACAGCAAGCGGACGGTGGTGTGGGGCGGCAGGAGGTGGCGATGCGACTGAACCAGCGTCGCAAACCCCAGGAGCGTTGTCATGTGGCCGTCGTGGCCGCACATGTGCGCGCACTGGTCAGCGGTGGACTGGTACGACAAGTGGGGATTGTGCTCGGTCATCGGCAACCCATCCATGTCGGCTCTGAACGCGATGCACGTCAACGCAGTCGTCGACTTCGCTCCCTCGGTGGGTCCATGGATGTCCACCACCAACCCTAGCGAAGGTGACAAAGTCAGTCTTGGAGCAAGTTCGTTCATATCGGTTGTACCTGTGGTGGCGACGCGCTTGATGTTCTCCAAGGGGATATGGGATTCGTTCACCAAGTACGCTTCCAGGAAGTCCTGCGTCTTGAACTCTTTGAAGCTGGCTTCAGGATGCGCATGTAGCGTATGACGCGTGGCTCGAAGGCCAGCAAAGAAGGCCGCAACGTCGTCCATTTGGAATTCTGCAACTTTGGGATCATGATTATTTACAATTCGACTTGTTTTTGGTGAAAATTCAACCCATTTCACCCAATATTTGGTAACTTCAACTACCCAACCTCGGAACAACTACTGAGCAGTACTAGTACATACTACTAGTAGCACAGAACCTCGATAGACCATACTCCTTACAGTTACTAACTTACTACTACGTAGTACTACGTAGTAGTAGTTAACACGAATACCTGTAATACACCGTGTTCTACCATCCATACGATATCATGCTTGATAGGGGATCTTCATGGAGATGTCCTCAGGTTCATAAGTGTAATGATGATGGTGCTGCATACAGTACTAGTAGTACTACTAGTACCTTGCGACCCAACCGAGCAGTTCCATTATACTATACTATTGCTAATATGCTACGGTAATACTGTTCATCTTATGAGTAATCTCTAGACATACTATCTTAAGACAAGTTGGAACATATCGATTCTCCAATCGACTACTACTAGTAGCTCCCTGTCATTGAAGTGACAAGTTATCCTCACGAGTTTTAGCAACACGGCGATTTGGTTCCGCAGTACTACGTAGTAGTAGTACATGCCAGACAATGGCACTTGCACTATATAAACGAATGCCTCGGTAGCAAGTTGAAGGTAACAACATTCAACGGACGAATCAAATAAAATGGCCCAATTGTGTGCAAGTTCAAGATGGTTATTAGTACTCCAGAGTACTACTACAGTAGTACACCGAATGTTACCAGTACTTCTCTTGTCAGCTCCTTGATCAACACTACTGCCAAAAGTATCCAAATCCATCCAAGCTCTTGCCAGGAACTCCCTAGCCAACCAGGCCGTCCGCATCCCCAAGAACCATAGCACAAGCATGGAGCTCACGGTTCACAACTTCAAGGCTTCACGTAGCCTAAGCACCTGTCTGGGACGTAAGTCGTTAACGTTAAAGTGATTTTTCTCTGCGAATGCACAGGAACGTTGGTACTGCAAACGACGAACGCAGCTATTAATATCGTCCGACCAATTTTTGATTGTCTGGATCAATCTCATTAATACCTCGCTACACTTTCAGAACTAAAAAGTCCATCGAACAATTTTCGTATTTTTTTTGCCCTTTTTGCTCGTAGGGCTTTTTCCAGGGTTAAATAAATATATCTCAGTGGTTCGCTGTGTCTTACATGGATCCTTAATGTTAATCCATGGATTCAGGGTACAAGCTAAATGCAGGTATGGATCGAACAACTTGCTGCGCCAACGCTCGTGCCATGTCCTCGTCAGGCCCCAACTCACTTTGGATGTCATAGTATCGTTCGATGCTTTCACGAATCCCAATCATCTCATCACTGCCATCGCCGCTGCCAGGCGCCGCCATCGGGTTGAGCTTTCGCATCTTGATGGGCCGTTCGAAGCAGGGGAGGTCCAACTCTGACCGACATTCCGGCAGCACAAGCAGCGCTTGAATCACCTGGAACGCTACCTCCGGCTTGGTGATGCACACTTTTTTTATGATAGTGCGCTGGATGGGGGCAGGCCCGTCGTCTCGGGTGTCCGCGACCCAGAAGAATCGCCAATCATCGTTCAAGTCGGTCAATAGGGCCATCACGTAGCCGTTAGCCAGCACATCCAGAGCGACCAGCTCCGACAGCGCCTCGTAGTCGGCGTCGTCTGCCACTTGGCGCTTCACTTCCACGACTAACTTGACTCCAGGCAAGTACTTCGCGTCCGACACGGCGTGGGGGCGCATGATGAGCAAGTCGGGGCTGCGTCCAGAAAGTTGGATGTTGGCACTCGGAATCGGAACGGTCAGGATGTTCTTTCCACGCTCCACGCCAAACATACCAAGGTTTTGTTCGTCCAGGACATCGCGAAGTTGGGCCTCCATGTACTGTACAAGCGGTACCGGCGGCGCTGCTGTTCCTCAGTCAGGGGGGCGCCACTTTCGTCGGCGGTGGATTCCCACTGGAATGGGCTCACCGGAACTTGGACATTATTCCCAGCGAACGGAACCATGGGGACCACCTGAATGTCCAAGGCAGTCAGCATTTCCTGGCCGTTCGTTTGGCCCATGTTCGAGTGGATGAACTTCTTCGGTGTGCAGTGCACACACGACGCCACCGCCGGCAACATCGTAGGCACTGCGACAGGCGCCACCACCAGCACATGGATCATCCGACGGACACGCACATCGACGTCTTGAAAACACTCGGAGATCAACGAGACAGCAGGCATCTTGGCCTTGACTCCACCAAAGGTCTCCCAAACACACGATCGCATATCGATGGTCGTCCCGTTCAACATAAGACGTCCGGCCTCGTCTTGCATCAGGCCATTCACCCGGTAGAGCTGCATCTCATCCGCTGGGAACTGGTACATCTGCTTGCCCTTGATCTTGTCCTTGAGGTCCCCCACGGTCTCCGCCTCCGCAATGTCCACAGGGATTGGGTGTTCCTCGCCAAGAGCGATACAGAACAGCTTCAGCATTTTGAAGAGAATGGGATGTGTTCCAAATAACATTGGACCAATTCCAACTGCTTATTCATATTAACTCCGGAACCGGAATACGATACGTCTAGTACCACACCTTTTTGCAGTTAAGTTGGACGAATGCCCGATATATTTGGCGGTGTGCCCGATATAATTGGCCGTGTGCCCAACCAATTGCCCATGTGCCCGATGAAAATGGAAATCACGCAATAAAAAGTCAATTCAACATAGAAATAGTCGTCAAACGACACATGCCGCATCGTTGCTGTGACGTCACATACCAACACCCATGTTGCTCATGGCCTCCGCGCGTCCATCGTGGGTGCGTTCCTTGAGGTAAATCGAAAAATGACCTCTGCGCGCGACAGATTCAAAACAATTTGGAGGGAGTTGAAGTATGGACGAAACGTGTAGTAAACTATACTTTATTCAAGTATAAATTTCGAAATGATCTTGCCTTCGCGCGTTTTCCTCTGAACTTCAACCACATGATGTTTCCACCAAAACTGATTTGCACTCCTTGGAATATAGTTACCGGGTATTCCAATTTCATCGGGCACACGACACAATTCATCGGGCAGATGGCTAATTACTTGGGCACACGGCTAATTATATCGGGCACATCGCCAAATATATCGGGCACACGACATCCGGGTGCCAAATTTAACGGGCGCATGGCCAATTATATCGGGCACACCGCCAAATGTATCGGGCACACGACCAAATATACCGGGCATTCGTCCAACTTAACTGCAAAAAGGTGTAGTAGTGTCTGGATGTTCGTAAAACTGCACCGCCGACCGTACTCTAATTAGTGCGCATCGCACTACTTTTCAACCTCGTCACAGAACTACGGCACATGTATTCATGTATTACACCTTTTTGCAGTTAAGTTGGACGAATGCCCGATGTATTTGGCCGTGCACCCGATATATTTGGTGGTGTGCCCGATATAATTAGCCATGTGCCCGTTTAATTTGGCCCGCCGAGGTCGTGTGCCCGATATATTTGGCGGTGTGCCCGATATATTTGGCGGTGTGCCCGATATAATTACATGTAGCCGTGTGCCCAAGTAATTGGCCATCTGCCCGATGAATTGTGTCGCCAAATTAAACGGACACATGGCTAATTATATCGGGCACACCACCAAATTTATCGGGCGAACGGCCAAATACATCGGGCATTCGTCTAACTTAACTGCAAAAGGGTGTATTAATAGTGTTACTATACCATTTGTACATAATTCAGAAACGTACACGAATCCCCCCTTCCTGAAACATTTAAAAAACTGTTTTTCTATTCGCGGAGAACGATTATCGTGTACGTAGGTACAGTACGTTAGCTTGCGCTTTTTCACCAAAAGATACCCGTCCGTCAGCATCATGCACTTGCAAGCCCTGAATCACTTGGAAGAGCGCATAGTATCCAGGGATCGGGGGTGATGCACGTTTTGTGTGTGGATGTTGCGGTGATTGGATTTGGAAATAGAAAAAAACTCCGTTTAACGCAAGTACCTGTATAGGTTTATTGAGTTTTCGAAGTGATCGCGAAATCAAAGTACAGGTGTTCCCCCGTCAGGAGGACGTGTCCGCCACTTTCGCCAGTGGTGGATTCACCGGAACTTGGATGCCACCCCCAGTGAACGGAACCATTGGGACCACCTGAACGTTCAAGGTAGTCAGCATTTCCTGGCCGTTCGTGGAGCCCATGTTGGAGCCCGTCTTTGCAACACTCCGAGATGAACGAGACACATAGCAAGCATCTTGGCCTTGTCTCCACGAAAGGGCCCCAAAGCACACGACGGCATGTCGACAAGGCGGAGACCGTGCAGGACCTCAAAGACAAGGTCAAGTCGGAGAAGATATACCAGTTCCTACAAAATTTATTTATAAATAATAAAAAAGAAAAAGCCTTATTTATAATAAAAAATTATTTAAAGAAAAATAATAATATTAATAATAGTTTCCAGCGCATGCGATGCAGCTCTACTGGGTGAATGGTCTCATGCAAGACAAGGACGAACGGCTTGTGTTTAACGCGACGACCATCGAAACAAGGTGCCTGCTGTGTGGTTGATCTCCGAGTGTTTCAAAGACGGGATCGATGTGCGTGTCCATTGGATGATGATCCATGTGCTGGTGGTGGCGCCAGCAATGTGTGCACTCCACACCGAAGAAGTACATCCACTCGAACATGGGCCAAACGGACGGCCAGGAAATGCTGACTAATTTGAATGTTCAGGTGGCCCCAATGGTTCCGTTCGCTGGGAAGAATGTCCAAGCTCCGATTCCAGTGGGAATGTCGTTACTGACGGCGTAGTCTATCATCAAAGGATTTGGATTTTGACTTGCTTTTGATTTCGAGGTGTATAATTTGCAAAGTCAAAGTGCAGTTCGGATAACGATGTACAGACCTGTGCTTTGTGTACGACAGCATCGCATCGGATAACGTTACAGTTACTAGACCCGTCTGTTGGGACGTCGAATAGCCAGCCATTTCACCATCGCATGCGATACAGTAGCGTTACATATGTACCCCACACGGTCTGTGAATGTACAGTGTACAAGTACTACTCCCGCACTAATAATAACGTTACCCAGTAGTACACTAGTACCATATGGTACTTACTAGTCTGTTCCAAAATAAGTGCGCGAATCAGGAAGTTGATGTATGCCTCGTCCAATATAAAAATACAAAACACTCCAACCTTAAATATACTACTTCGAAGTAATATGCATTTATACAGGTGAGTACGCAATACTAGTAAGTACCATATGGTACTAGTAGTACTGGGTAACGTTATTACTAGCACAGTACAGAGTAGTACTCAATCGAAGACCCTACAATATGATAGTAGTACTCCTATTAATAGAATTGTCCACGCGATGAATTGAAGCTAAGGGTAACGAATCGTTCAACGAAAGGCAGTATCGTTGCATACAAACTTCTAGTATACGTCCTGCTGCAGACGAACTAATTAAGGGAATTTTCCATGATTTGCCTTGTGTTTTCAATCAAATGCAGCAAAACCATAGTACCAATTCGCTTAACTAGTACAAGATCGCAGCGCGGGTCGTGAAAACAAGGACGTCACTTTTCAAATAGTTTCCGTCGACGTACCCGCTGGCTGGTTGATCATGGGAGCTGCCGCGTCCAACTACGTGTACAATGAGGCGACGTCGCTGAGCACGCTCATCGGGTTCTCCAAGGACCCGCGGACGGCGCTGCTCAACGCCCGGGACCACTACGGGGACATCTTCCTTGTCGAAAGCGCGTTCGTGTCGACCAAGATCGCGGGGTTGTGCGGCCCCGAAGCGTTGAAAGAGTTTGAAGCCAAGCTGCAAGACGGGTCATTGGTGAAGCAAGGTGCGTTCCCTCCATCGATCCTTGCATTGCTCGGTCCCATCTTGGTGACGCTGGACGGAGACGTCCACCACGCGAAAAAGGCGGCGCTGCTCAAAGCGTTGTCCCCGGCGCAATTGGACGTGTACAAACCTATCATTCGTCGAATCGTGCAAACCGAACACAGCAAGTGGGCGGCACACGGCGGCGCGATCTCATTTGCGGTCAACACCAAGATCCTCGTGTTCAAAGTCCTCCTCGCCGTGTTGTACGGTGTCGAAGGCGAGTTCGACACGTACAGACGGTACGTCGACGACTACGTGACGGCGATCAAGCAGTCCGCCAAGGTCACCGACGAACACGGGGTCACATGTCGCGCCAAGTTTATCGCCGAGATCATCGCGCCCGCCATCGCCGCGGCCAAGGCAAACCAAACAAAACGACAGCAGCAACCACTCAACTCGGTCCTTGATGTGCTCGTAGCGACTGGCGACTTGACCGACGACGATGATCTCCAGAACGAAATGTTCCACTTCATGTTTGCAGGGTTTGGCGGCGTGTCGGCGGCGGCGACCAACCTCATCACGGCCGTATGCGTGTTCCCTGACATCCGAGCCAAGGTACTTCGTGCGCGGGACGACTTTTTACGTCAGTATGATGGCCGCGACGAGTCGCCGTGGAATCACCTGGACGAGATGGGGTACCTAAACCTGTTTGTACTGGAAGTGAAGCGATACTTTGTTGCTGGGCCCACTCAAGTGTACGCCAAGGCGGCGCGCGATCTCGACTTGGTCACGTCCACCGGAGTGTTTCGCATCCCCGAGGGGGCGCTCGTCATGGCTGGACTCGAAGCAACCAATCGCGACCCTGACACGTGGCCGTCCCCAGACTCGTTCGACCCGACGCGGTTCACGCAAGCCGACGTCGACGGCATGCACATGACGCGACCGTTCTCATTCTGCCCCCACGGGTTTGGCAGCCATCGCCGGTGCGCCGGAGAGCAACTCACCACCGTGATCATGCAGTCCGTGCTGGTGTCGCTGTTTGACTTTACGTGGAAAATGATACCTGGTCAAGAGTATGCGCTGCAGCCGCATTCAGTCACGGCGGTCCCGATTGGACAACTCATGGGTGTGAACTTTCACAGACGACTGAACGAGGATGATCCATCGACTCCGGAAGTTGAGACCTATGGCATCGTGGGCACCCAAGACGACTGGAAGTTCTTACGACGCCCCGATGTACAGGAGCTTACGGGTATGTATTTATTGATTCTATGGATTTATTGATTATATGGATTTATATTCTATGTATTGATTCTAAGAATTTATACTCTATGTATTTATATATTCTATGTATTTATATTCTATGTATTTATTGTGATTCTATGTATTTATTGATTCTATGTATTTATATTCTATGTATTTATATTATATATATTGATTCTATGCATTTATATTCTATGTATGTATTGATTCTATGTATTTATATTCTATGTATTTATTCTATGTATTTATTCTATGTATTGATTCTATGTATTTACATTCTATGTATTGATTCTATGTACTTATTTATTGTATGTATTTATTGTACGGGACTTGAGAGTATCGTTCGTGTTGATTTCGCTTGAAAGGGTTTTTATTTTTTGTTATGTTTTAAAGATAACGGAACCAATGCCTCGATGTATTCTCACAAGATTGCTACTTATTATATTAATAGTGTTGTTTCGTATCTTTACAAAATAATAGTATAAATAGTAGACGTATTTTTCTAAACAATAGAAGGACGATCGATGGATATGCTGTTTTCTATACTATACATACATACACTACGATTGCCGATGCTTATGTTTTTATTTATTTTTGATGTCGATGCATAACTCCCAATCCTATGAATTATATAATATTCCTGCTATAATGACAACAACTAGGCGTGAATGCGGCCGAGTACTTTGACGATTCTCGGCTGGACTTATGGACGAGACTTATGATTCAGTTGATTTCCAAGAAGCAGACGCTGTGGAACCGCCCATATGCCACCACGGCGCTGTCTGTTCCCCAGCACCAGCAAGTTCTGGACAAAATCACACTAATTCAGACCAACATCCAGATTCCCATCGTGGACGAAGACTGGCCGTGCCAGCCGTGGCTCGAGATCCAGCAGACCAATCTATTGAGAGACCACGCTCCATTCGTCGACGACTTTAGTCACTTGTGGCTCCCAGCAGAAGACGGAGAGCGCTACGTTATGAGCAAGGTGTGTGGGTTTATATATATATATTAATAGTTGGTATCACTCAAATATATATATTAATAGTTGGTATTATTACTTGTACCACACTAACAGTCAGTGTGTTTGGTTTGTTTGTGGAGACTGTAGTCCTTGAATTGTTTTAGCAATATTCGATTGGTTGATTGTATTTGTGTTGGATATAAGTATTGGGCACATTTGGGCATTGGTCGTGATATAATAGTGCTATTCCTTCCTGGTTGTACCTTTTATTTCTATAATGGATAGTTCGAAGTATATATATATATATATTTATAGTGAAATGTATATACTTAAGTATATATTTATTATATTTATTCGAATTATAGACTTAAATAAATATATATGCATACCATATTTGAACATGCATATATAACATATACATATTTATGTACTACGTAGTATATATTAGTAAATATATTTTAGGTTTTTATATGGCAGTATTACATATATATATATATATATATATATATGTTTAGTGAAAAATCGTGTCTTACAATGCTTTTTTGAATTATTAGGTGGGACATATGTGGCCTCGCGTGAATGTGCATTGGAACGATCGGTATTCGGATCGGGCGCTGGAATTGCTCGTGTTTCACGGGTTGGGGTCGCATCTGGTGCAGAAGTTGCCCCAAGCCCACGCTGATGGCTCGTATTATGGTAATTTATATATATATATATATATATAATATATATATATTTACGATGCAAACCTTCTAGGCGTGTTGCTCAACGTGATGCAAGGGCTCGAAGTTCGGCCAGGGTTTGCCAAGTACGGCGCAGATGCTTTTTTCAACAAGCACGGGAAGTTGGTCAAGATCCAGCGCGGCGACAAAACGGTAAATAACGATATTTCCCTCAATTTCGGAGAAATTATATATATATATATAGTACACCAACACGCACGACGACTGGGCGTATATCAAAATGACGTTTCGGGGCACGTTGATGACCAAGGTGACGGCAGTGGACCATCTGCTGGGGGTGCATGTGACAGCGGCCAACTACTTGGTCACAGCTTCGCGGGAGAAGCTACCCGTGCGCCATCCACTGCGCCGCCTGCTCAAACCCTTTACATTTCGGTCCGTGTCCATCAACTACGGCGCCGGCCGCGCTTTATTCTGGCCCAATGGGATGCTTCAACGGGCTTTTGCATTGACAACAGCCGGGATGAAGCAAACGTGGGAGTTTGGGCTGACTCAGTTTGAGTATGCCACGTTCCCCGAGACGATGGCCAAGCAAGAGATTGATACGCTCACGCTACCGTTTCACCAAGATGGGCTCGATTATTGGCACATTGTGTACAAGTTTGTGGCCAACTATGTGGATTTATACTACCCCAGCGACGACGATGTTGCTATGGATGTGGACGTTGGCAAGTTTTGGCGGTACATGGGGGAATTATCCCCCGCGCCCCTGCCCGACCTGACCAAATCCCATTTGAAAGACTTTATGTCGCAGGGAATTTTCCTCGTCTCGAGTATGCACAATCACCTGGGCACGATCGCAGAGTACGTGAGCGATCCCGCGTTTTGCCCATCCGCGTGGGTCGAAGGAGAGCTCAGTGCGCGACCAGGCAACGCCGTCCGCCTCGCTTTGATCATGTCTGCGACAGGGTTCACCCAGCCCTCCATCACTGAGGATTTCTCGCACATTATGCTCGACGACAAGGCCAAAGCCCTCGTCAAAACGTTTACAGCGGACCTATACGCGCAGATCAAGGTCGTGGACGCCCGCAACGCTAACCGCGTCCAGCCATTCCAGTCGTTCAACCCCAAAGCGATGGAGATGGCGGTTAGCATCTAAGAAGCCACGTTATATATTGTCGATTTTCTTCAAAGTTCCCAATTTTGCATGGTTCGTTCAAATAGAGCCGAGACATCTGATTGGCCATTAGTATCCACTTCGTCAAGTAGAAACTCGAAAATGGTTTGTAGCCAATCAGCGACAAGCAATTTCGGATTGACCAATGGGAGAGATTGGTGCTCGATTCGCTCGGCGAGATTTGATTGAACAGGGTCCGGAAATTCATACCGAATCTCCAATAACACGCTATAAATTGATTGATATATATGGATGGATGTATATAAGCTTACTACTTTTAAGGAAATATTGTGGATATTGAAAACACAGCCGATCCCCATGAAGTAGTACGTGGACCTTGGGGAATGTATTTAAATATATTTATATTCGTGTATATTATGTATGTATATGAACAACCCTTAACTTTGAGAGAAATCAGAGCACACATACCAAAGTGACTGGAAATTACGACGTAATACATGCGACTGAACCCCTTGTACACCTGACGATAGCTTGAGAAGTAAGACACTTACAGAGAACCCCGGAAATATCCGATAGGGGTTACAGCAAATTTTGTATGGAGATGTCGCCAGAGTAATAATATTCATTACTTTTTTATTGTTAGATATGATTGGTAGAAATTACGAGCGTAACGTTACATGAGGAAATATACGGTAACGTTATCGTAGATTTTGGGTCATATCATAAGGACGTCGTAGGAGTACGGGACATTTGAATTATCATGGGCCCACCATTAGATGTACTTTCGGGGGTAGGTATTTGCATCAGTTGATGTAGTCATTTCTTTGCGACGCTATATGGACGATCGTTCTCGCTGGTGATGACACCACCTCGAAATCCACTTTTTGCCCCCCCTTTTCATGTATCCTGCAGCTA